TGCATACATTAATTTATTTTCTTAATTTTTGTGATAATGTGTAATATCAATTTTAATGTGATATATCTTTCAAAAATATAGTCTTTTATTAACCATATACAAAATAAATGCAATTAATGGTATTGTAAGAGTAATAATAATTATAATTAAAAATGCCTTTTGTGCAACTATCATATTTGGGGGTGTTACGTGTTTTTTGATATTTGAGGAGATATCATCGTTCTGGATATATTTCTTATATTCGTCCTTAACAATTTTGAGAACATTATCTAGAGAATTATTTTGTAAATTGTTACATTTTTGTAAAAAATTCATATAATTCATAAAGCATTAACTACCAGAATGACATTTAATAGTGCCACTTTTTAATTCTTCAAGATAATTATATAATGAATTCAGGTTATCCAATATTTTAAATATATCCTACTGAAGATCGATTATATGGGACTCGCATTTGTTCAAACCTGTTTTATCATTTTTTTTGTACACTTCTATCATTTTTTGGTAACAAGCTTTTTCTCCATTACATGATGTACTTAACCCTATTAATTCATTTCTTAGCACGTAGTTGAAGTATATACAATATGGCTTAACATCATTATTCCCTTTTTTTTTTACAAGTTCTAGATAGTTACTAAAAAAAACACAAATTCTATTAAAAGTATTACTCCATATATTTAACTCAGTAGTAATCCTAATGCAAACATTATAAAAAGTATCTGTGTAATAATTTCCTCTAAGTGTGCTCTCAATTTCATTAAAATCCTTTATAGATGTAGGAAATATACCTTTAAAATCAAACTAAAAGTAAATATCACAATGCATAAAAAAAATTTAAATAATATTTTAAGGAGAAAATAATTTAGATCGATGTGGAAGATAACAGTATAGTATATGATGTAAATTATAATATTTTTATTATGTAGAAACATACATTTTGATCAGAAGATATAGGCCTAGACATTATTCTATACGTATGTAAATTTGTACCAAGAAATATTTTACTTTTTTTTATTTACTATATACTTGTTTGTTCCATGAAATATATTAATTATGGTTATATTCATGCCATATTCATTAAATCATATAATTTTAAATATTGTACACAACATTTTGAGAATTTATATTTTAATATACTTGAACACTTATATTAAAATATGGTACCATTGCTGTTTTGGAATAATGAAAGTGTCATTTGATGCAAATAAATGATATGAAAAATAAGCTTACGACATTAAAACATTATATACAACTTAAATAATGCATATTTTATTTGTAACAATGATATATATTTAGCATTAACATGATAATGTATTTTTCATTAAAGAAAATAAATGAAATATATACTCTATATATTTTTAAATATTAATATACATATCTTATATTAATTTTATTCAATGTATAATAATGGATATAATTATAATATATTTAGTTTTATAACTTATGGTAATATATAAGTATGTATTTTCAGGTTTATTTTTAATATTCAGTTTTGGTTTTAATGGACTTTATTTCGGTTATTAACATAATGTTATAGGGAAAATAATAGTAAATTATTAATCGAATGTACTTAATTTTACATTATTTTTAATATTAAGTAAATCTGAATGATGAAATGTGCATTTATATAATAGAAGCTCCAATATCGGAAAATGATAAAATCAAGTTTAATCGTATAGTTCTATATATATATTAAGCATTTTTTTTTAATATATGTGTATATAAAGATAGTGTAAAATAATTTTATTATATATATATGTAGTTTATATTCTCTATAGCATGCATTAATTATAATGAACAAACCAAAGTATATTACATAAATTATCACATTCTTATAGAATAATGTAAAAATGAATTATATTATATATTTTTTCTAAGAAAAAAGAAATATATACTATATAACACTCAAATACATGAAATTTAATAAATATATAATGATATTACGATGTTTTTCAAATACTATAAATGTGCATATCACATCAAAACTAAACTATAAATATCCCAATTTAAATTTGCTTTATGAGAACAAAATTATCCAGAATAATTTGTATAGAAAAAATATATACAAATTAAATAATATTTCTTGAATTAAATAATTAAAATAAATAATGTATTCTATATAAATATATATTGTGTATGGGTTATTTATTATTTAAATAAGATATACCATAATTCTAATTTACATAATTAATCAAATCATATATACTTCTTCATTGAGAAAAACAATTACTGTAAAATTAGTATTTTATCACAATTATGACTTTATTATATCCATATTATGAATTAATAGGATATATATTTCATATATTTTGATCGCATAGTGTTATTAAGATATATATTCATTTAAATACCAATAATTTATTAGTTTGTTATTAAGGACACATCATTGACATTTATATATATCCCCAAAACATATTTTTTTTTTATGTATTATTTATAACATGTAGTAATAAAATTTTAATTAAATAATATATAAGAATATTCAGAATAAGCATTTATACTAATATATTTTGATATATTAAATGTCATCATAAGAAATTATATACAATTATATTAATGCACATTTTAATTCAGCATTTTTTTTATTTTTACAATACATATATCCAATTTAATTTTTATATGATCACATATTTATTGCTATTATTTATTTTTAATTGTATCATGTGAACTTTTTAGGGATGTTAAAATATAATAAACCAGATTTTCCTCTGAATATACGTTTATATAGCAATTTAAGTAAGTATGTTATAATACACATTACTTTAATGCACAATAAAAAATTATAATTTTTTCCTTTTCTTAAAAACATAATATAATGGTCAAAATTTTAATTATTATATATATGGAAAGGAAACGCAGGCAATATTTAAAGGTAAATTCAATATATCATATAAAAATTTGTTTAAAAATTTTATAAAATTCATCTTTTAATAAAAATTTATTTTTATGTATTATGTTTGTATTAGATTTATATCCACTCTTATTATGCACCAAACATGTATACGTACTTCTATTATATTCATAAATATGTATATAAATTTTGGATTTGTGAAAATATACAATATTTAATATATATCTGATATAAATTTGATAAAACAATTAAAATAGAAAAAAAAGTAATAAAAGTTGGAAAATTATAATCTATTAAATTATTTGGAGAACATGGAAAGAAAAGATATGATAGAGCCATATATAATTACTTCATATATAATATAATGCTTTTAGGATAATAAAAATATAAATCTATTATATTTATAAAACCTGAAGTATAAAAATAGGTAAAATGATAAAAATACTGTTGCATCCATGCTTTTAATAATTGATTATAATAGCATATTAAAATAAGATTTCTCGTAATTTTTCATATTTTTATTGATACCAGTAGCACTTGTAAAAAGGATACAGATTAGTAAACAATTAATAAATGAAAAATAATGAATAATTATTATAATTTTTATAAATTTATTTTTTCTATAATGTGTGTATCTCTTTCTATATACATTTTTGTATGAATATTGATATTGACATATAAAAGCCAGAAACAAATCATGAATTAATACGTATATCTTCACAGTAGAAATTACACAACATATATACCCAGTTTTCTAATTATAAAACATGTAAGAATATTTTTTTATATTTTCTCCTTTTCTTAAACATTTTGTTCAAGCAATTTAATAATTATAATAATATATTTTTAAAAAAACCATGCTTTATAACTGCTTGGATTTCTTAATTAGAGAGTAAATATATTTTTAGTTATACTTCTCATGTTCAATATATTATTATATTTAAAATGAGAAAAATAGGCACATTTCATAAATTTTGTATATAATTTCATGTTGATTTAGCAATCGATTAAAAATTTACAACTTAATTTAAAGCTACTCTAATATATAAAAATTTATGCGCTGTATATAGCAAAAATAATAATATATTTGATAATAATTTTGTAGAATTAAGTGATGATTACTAATTAAACTATTTAATAAGTACACATAAGTATTATTTACATAAGTCAGTTCTTATAAGCTAATTGCAAGATAGTTTAAAAAATTTTAATAGCATATATTTATAATCATTATAACAATTTACACAAAAAAAATTGTTTGATAAGGGTGTATAAAAAAACAAATAAAATGAAAGAGTAAAACCATAAGTTTAAAGTATTAAGGATTATTTTATATATTAATATAATGCCTTAAACATTTATAAATTGGGAGCTTAATATGCATACATAATTGTTAATTATATACTTCTTTATCTTTTAGTACATATATTTAATTTTTATAATGGGATATTATAAAATAGATTTAATTATGTTCATCTATATATTAATATAATATTGATTGTAAAATATTCGATTCATCGTAGAGCACAAAAATAATATAACTACATATAATAGCAAGAGCGCTATTCCTTAATTTTTGAGTTTAATAATATAAATCAGTTGATTTATCTGCTTATTTTTTTATAAAATCTATTTTTATTATAAAAGACATTATTGAGGTTACATTAAGGAATAATAAAAAAGACTTCGATATATTATACGCTTATACGTGTAGGATTTATAGCAATTTCATAAATATATAGTTGATTTAGATGATCTGTTTTATATTTACTCAAAAAGTTTTTTATATTGACATATAAATTTTATTTGATGTACTCCTCATTTATTAATTTTCATGACATTTAAGATTATTCAAATTTTTTTTCGTTTTTAATTTTTTTTTTTATAAGTGATAAGTTATTTACATAATAAAATTACTTTTTTAACTTATATAAATATTATTATTTTCTATTATGACTTTGAATTTATAAATATATAATTATTGTGTGTTCTTAATTTTTTTAATAATTGTTATATTTTTTATTTTTAATGCTGTTTCATTTTTGGTAGTTGCGTTTCCTTTCCGAATAGCAATTTAATTAATATTTAATCGGTTCATAAGAATTATAATAACACATATTTTTAGAACGTAGTAGTAGAATTATTATATTCATAATCTTCCATATGCTATCTCATATCTCTTATTATATGAATATATATTTGCTTTATCTGGTGTATGGTAAAATAATTCTTTTTCCTCATCTCTATCGTAAATACTTTTTATTTTTTTTACCCTTTTCTTGGAGCGAAACATGTTACCAATTGGTGTGAACTAATAAAAAAGATAATAATAATTTTTTATATTTATAAACGTTATATATTTATTTTTTAGTATTTGGGATTACAACATGCAAAATGTTGTTTTCACAATTTGTTTATATTTTTCAAAAGGCATTATATTAACCTTATAGGATAACATAAAAAAGGATAATATTCCACCAATTATTGATAGAACTGTTGGTATAATATTTATTGTGGGTATATTTGAGCTTTGGTGCTCAAATTCTTGGAGTTCATTTTTTGTATAAACCTGAGTTAATGCTGACATTTCGTTTTCTAATTGTAATTTTTTTTCTTCAACATTCGATTCACAACTCATAAATTCTATATTATTATTAGATGTTAATGACGGTAATATACTTTTCATAGATTCTTCATTATAGATATATCCTGTGTACAAACTACTAAAAGTCCTTAGTTTGGAACAAGTGCTCACATTTTTTTCTATTGTACCATTTCCATTTCTACAATACTTTTCATTCATGGTTTTATATATTTGTACTATCTCCTTGACAAATTCTTGACAGTAGCATTTCATTACATCATACTGACCTTTTAACACGCTAATAATTACACTTATGTTAGATTCAAATATGTTTAACATTACAATTTTATTGGGTTCTGAATAATTTGTATCGTATGAATATAAGCACATTCTGTTTTGGGGAGCATAAAATTTCGATTGTCTTATAATATCATTGAAAAAATTACTAAAAATTTCTCCATCGAGGTTTTCTTTTTTTATATAATAATACAACCAATTGTTCAAGTCATTACAATAGCTAGGCTTAATTTTGCATTCACCTGGATTATTACAAAGTAGATTATAATTTCTTACAAGCTTCTTGCAGAAATCAATGTACTTTTTATCATGTTGTTTTAATATAAGGGCAACCCCATTGCATATGTCTTCATATATTTTATTTTGTAATTTTATCTCTACTGTTTCATCAAGTTCTTCAAATAAGTTCCATGTCTCTTTTAAAAACGGATACTGTCATTAATGAAAAAATATATAAAATTTATATTAATAAATGCATATTCTAAAGTTGCAATGTATTATATAATATTTAATAAGTGTTTTTACTCATAATATTATTTGTTAGAAAAGTATAAAAAAAACTAACAAGCCTGCTTAATTTTCTTATATCCAATACATCTTCAGTCATACTTATTTAATGAAACAGTAAATTGATTTTTGATATATATATATATTTGTAAATAAATTATTATAAAAATATTCATGAGAATTGCAGCTGTCCTTAATAATTAATGTTGGAATATGTGTAGAAATAATTTAAATTAATTATTAATACTTTTACATAGTAAGACATAAATACTTGTATGGAAATTAGACATGATTTTTCAAAGAACATGTTGCAATAATGCGTAGTAACAAAATTTACATATATATTTATTTATATTAGTATTTAATTCTCTGTGGATAATACATAAAAGAATTGTGCATAAGCGCGAATATCATTTATTAAGCACATTCTATTTAACATAACACATATGATCAGTGAAAATATATTTTATAAGTACTCTTATTAGTATATTCAATAATGAATATTTTAGAGCAATTAATTTTCTCGTATTCAAGAATAATTTCTTATGAATTATATTTATTTAGCTTACTATTATTGTATATTATTTTTCAATAACTATATATGTTTGTAGGAGACCAATAGATGATTATTACACCTCGATAATGCAAAATCAATTAAATTGAACAGATTGGTAAATGAAAATAATGTATTTTAAGCAATATTAATAACTTTTATTATGTGAATATTGTTTTAGTAATAAATACATTATTAGACAAATCATATATTTCACAAAATAGGTATAAAATATAACTTTTTCCTTTTTTATGTACAAGTTGTTATATATTATATAATATATAGAAAAGAATAAAATTGGATCGATGTTGTAAATGCCATATTAAAAATAATATCTTCAAAATAAAAGGATGATATACAACAAATTATTTTTAACAGTTATTATATTAGGAAGATTTAATATACAGGTTCACCAAAAAGCAAAAGTGAAGAAAATAAAGAAAACATAAAATTTTATAAAATGTATAAGCTTTTGTATGTTAAAGTTGTCTATATGAGTATATATTTTCTCATATATACAAATATATATTTTTATATTTTATTTTTTTCTACATTTTATAGTAAATGGTGAAATAAAGCGCAATGTTTTGCTTATTGTTCTCACATACCAATAACGTTTCGGTTCATAGTAATAAAAAAGAAATTGGTTATATAAAAATGAAATGACCTTTTCATATATAATGTTGAAGAAGAAATACATCAAATAACTAAATATGCATTTTATTATACCTAAATGTTTTATCGTATTCCTAAGAATCAATAAGAACATAAGAAATAAATAGACATAAAATTGAAGAATTTGGCTAGGATTAAGGCTGTGATAATTTTATTATAAATAACAAAAGATTTATTTATGTTTCATAAAATGTATTTTTAGATTTTACATGAATTATGTTTAATTTTGCATATAATACATAATATGAGTTTAATTTATTACATCTATTTCCTTGATCCTATGATAAAATATAATTTTATATTAATACTTACATGTATAATACTCATATATATATATGTATATTAAGAATAATTATAATGTATCCCAAAATATTATTTAAGTGAAATTTTTATAACACTATAAACCTTAATTATATGAAATGTGTAAACAAGTTTTATATATCTAATGTTTTATTATTTTTTATGTTCTATAATATAATAATTTAATAGTGCAATATCATTATAGCCCATAAGAGAGCGAACTATTTTACAAGATTCATACGTTATTTTCAATTTAAGAGATAGTTCTCAAATAAGCTACATTTTAAAGCTTATTATATACTTTTTTCCATTTTTAAGTTTTAAATCATTTAAAATTATATTATCTCATTAAAAATTATTGGCTTTAATGTATAGTAAAAAAAAAATATTAGATCTATCACATTGGATGAATGAAAAGAAATAATAATTTAATGCGTAATACTACCATAAATACGTGTGTCTTAATATATATTACACTTTTTTACTCATTTAGTACATGATTTTAAATGAATATTTAAAATAGAATGTTCATTAAAAATTTAGATCACAAATAAATATGCTACATAATAACTCATATGATATGCTTTAATTTTTTTGATGAAAATATGATTGAATAAATAAATTTACTCTACATTTTTCCAAAAAATTAATGATTAGTTTCTAATCGAAGCCATTAAAAACTAATTTTATATTTATTTATTAAATTATCATTAGTCAGAAATTATAAATTTTATATAAAATTAATTATTTTAAGGGGCGCATATCATGATATTTTTTACTAAAATATTTACCATTGTATTATGAATTCACAAATTTTTTGTTAAACCTAGTATTCAATATAATTATAGCTTATTAGGAAACCCGCTTATTTTTCCTATAATATCGCATTCCATTGTGAACTTTTTAATATTACTGCATCTCATAAATATAATTTAATATGTTAAGATATATATTGAATTTTGAATAATATGTTTATATGTATATATATAAAATAAAAATTTTTATTATTCAGGTAAATAATTTTAAGCCATAAAATATAACTCATTTACATGAAAGTTATGTGGAACAAGATTATCTAAAATTAGTACTTAAAAAATTGTATTAAAAAAAAAAGAAAAAAAACATGTACACTTATATATATATGTATATTATAATACGAGGAAAACATTATATGTGAAAAAAGAAGAATAATTAAATCATATAAAAAAAAAGTTTTTGCATTTATTCATTCCTACTAAATAATAGTATTATTCCTTTGTAATGTGCATTTGTAAATGTAGTTCCTAAATCTAGTTTTCGTCAACATATTTCTATACATGTTTAGTTTCATGTAGATATAAAAGTTGAGAAAGAATTCACTTTTTTGAACTTCTATTTAGAAATGCTCTTGCAGTTATTAGAAATGATGATAAGTCCTTCACAAGCATATAATAATTTTTAATTTATGCTTGCTTTAATAATATCGGAAGTAGTAATGGAGCAGTAAATATAACAAATGATATTTACGAATATAAATGTTTTATTTATCAAAATAGATTGTAGCACAGACATACTTATATAATAGTTAAAATAGTTGACACATTATAAATTCTATATATGTTTCTTTATAGTATTATGAAACCATGAAATATATTTGTTATGTCTATTACAAGCACTGAATTCGGAATAATATATAAAAAGCATGTTATGCTTTTTGAGCGATATATATATTTTTTAATATATATTATATACATGAAACAAAATAATATTTTATGTGACCATTATGTTTTAAATTTCTTAAATGAATTTTAGTTTTGCATATCTTTCAGATCATTTGGTATTATCAAAATTTCAGAAATTTTTTACTACGCTTAATTTATATATATATACTTCTAATATATTAGAGCTGTATAATTTTTCTAAAAAGAAATTTAACAGATATTTTGGTTTATAAATAACTTCGTTTATTTATATGTATCAGGATTTTTCATCGATTCTGAGCCGCTTACTATATTTTATTTAGTAGTATATTATTATTTTGCGCTATAAATTACTTTTGTGCAATAGAATATATGCTTGTAGAAATTCATTCATATTTTTCAATAATTTTTTTTTAAATTATTATTCATGAATATGATTTTTATTCACTTTTTCCGGTTTGCTTATGTAACAATGATTACAGAATTGATGACTATATTTGTAGAAGCTATATTATGAGCAATGTTTATAATAAAAGTATTTTATTATTGTTTTGGTAATACGAAACCTTTAATGTCATATGATATAAATTTTGTAGTTATATATTTCTTTATATAATAAAGTGCCATAATGATATCTTATGCAACGAATGAGATGTATATACAACATAAAGTGTAGTTTATTCTATACTCTTGGAAGACAAAACTTGAAATAAGACAAGAATCGTTAAACTTAATAATCTTCTTAATCAGTTACTTGTGGATGTATTACGGGAAAATTACCCTATTATATCACCTATATTTGATTTATTATTTGTGTACTCAGTTACAATATTATAACAATTATAGGAACAATATTTTATTGTGTAATCAAATAGTAATTATTATGAAATATATAATCTTTGTGTCTTGGTGCATTATACAATATGTTGAGTTGTAGTAACCTGCCAAGGTATTACATGAGAAATATGTTCATGGAATTTATTTTTATATTGATATATTTACGTGTCATTAATAATGTTATAAATTTTTCATCAAAATCATGAGTAATATTGTAAATATGTGCATAATTATTTTCATAATAATAAAAATATATGAAAATCTATGATAGGTATGTTTATTTAGTAATTTGTTTTTATATTACACAATAATAAGTTGATATTTTATAGAAATAATTACTTGTAAATTATTAATTCTTTCCATAAGAGCATCTATTATGTAAATTAAATATATGTATTATATATGAGTTCAAATATTTTCTTAATATATACTATTGCCTAAGCATTATTCTAGTATTCTTATATAATTTCGCACGAATTTGTTAATTTGTTGTAGATATATATTTTAATAAAATCCCAAACTATACGAATTATAATAACATTTATTATTTTATTGTTGTTCCGTTCATCTAAAGTATGCTCAAATATATATTTATACAAAATATTAGAAAAGAAAATATAAGCATTTATATTTCTATATACTTTAAATTTATTCAGTATTTTGTAAGAAGAAATAAAAAAAACATAATGCAAAAGAATTTGATAGACAACTATGTATATAGAAAAAAGGAAAGAATCAAAATTTTAAAGTTGCATTCATGATATAAGCATATATATTATACAATGAAAAAATATTATATTATATCTTTCCTTAAAAAATAACTTAATTGGGAATATAATATCATTTTATATATTATATCTTATATATTGTCGTTTAAAAATATTATATAAAAAAAAAATTAATTTGTGATTTATGTTTTGTGCCATAATGATTTGTTATTAGAATAATTTATGTGTATGTTTTTTACAATTAATAAATAAACAAGTCGTGATGTTATGTGTTATTGAAGAGAAAAATAAAATAAACAAAATTTTGAATGTTTTTCTTCAAAATCTTATAGAGAAAAGAATCAGTAGAAAATAAAATGGAAACAAATAAAGAGTAAGATTGTCATAAAAAAAAATTTACTTTTCCATTTTCTATATAAAATGTTTTAATTTCTATTTATATGAAGTACAAGCATTTCAATTTTTATTTAATAATAATAATTTTTTTCATCTACATTATTGTTATGCTTATGGAATATTATACGATCTTATCGTATTATGAAAATATATATATTTATAACTAAGAAAATCACTTTAAATAAATTATATTTTACTTATTGAAAAAGAATTCATAATAGAAGTTTTAATGATAAAATACAGAAATACAAAATAAGTGTGTAAATAATAAAAATATCATTTTTATATCTATAAATAATTTATTTAACATAATATTTGTTTTTTTTATTTATTTCAATACTTTTTCTTATAAGCACTTATGCAATAACTGAACAATACTTATTAAAATTTTATTTATATAATTATTTTTTTCATATATATAAGGAAATTCTTGATTGCTCTTTAATTTCATAATTAATCTTACATGAAATATTTCAAGCAGTTTAAGGATTATTTTGTATTGAATAATATTATACTGGGTTATATCCTATGTATTTTTTTTCTAAATATTCGCATAATGGGTTAAAGTTTTCTGATCTATGGAAGAATAATCTTTTTACTTTTTCATTTAGATTTCTTATCCTATTTTTTATATTTGGAAAGTTATTTTGTAACTGTTTTCCTATAGGTGTAAACTAGTACATATAAGAATTATACGAAGTATTGTTAATATTTTAATTTATTAATAATGGCTATTTAATTGAAGTAACTAAGAAGATTATACAATTTATGCGTTAAAGAAAATTTCATTTACTTTATATATAGTTGCAAAAAACATAGATGTAAAAGCTAATCCTAGAAGAATCTTACCAAAGGTAGTTGTGCTATTATATATTTTAAGAGGAATCTCTAAAGCTTTCTCTTCTTTCGGTAAAGTACTTTTACATGTTATTGTAGATAACACACTTTTGGGATTATAAGATAAAAATTTATTATAAAAATTAGGACACTGCGAGCTAATCTTTTTATTACAATAATTCTCTATCTCTTGAAATACAGTAGTCTTTTTTTCAATGTAATTTAAATAATCGATACAATTTGCATTAGATGGTTCCGCCAAGCTAATAAGGTAATTATAGTCTACAAAGTAATCACACAGTTCTTTCACGTTTTTCCAATTACGATACGAGATAACATCGTCAAGATTACATTCTTCGGAATTGAATATTAATCCATCAAGAAATATTTGCGTTAATATACGCTTCATGTCACACCGTATATGATAATAACATTACTTTTATTTCCTGGAAATATACCTTCTAATTGTTCATATACCCAAAAAGATAAAAGATAACATTGCAAATCTTTGTATTCTGGGCCTGAAATGTTTTCTTTTTTTTTTAAATAGTTTACAAGTTTTAAACAAAAATCTGTAATTTGTTTTTCTTTACCAAACGAATAACTGAAGGAATTACAATATTCTTCATTATTTGATAGATCCGTGGATCTATCATGTAGTATTTGGTAAAATTTTTGTGAAGGCAATTTACTTGTGTCAATATACTGAAAATTAAAAAAGAAATGTACACAAAAAATTTAATTAAATATACATATAGAACTGAATTTTTTATAATATTTAACTGAATCTAAAATATACAGTCGTATATGGATATGTTATAATTATTGAGTGTTTAATTACATGTATCCTTACATTTGTAGATTTATAAACCATTTTAAAATTTGATAATATATTAAATGTAGGAAATTTACAAGTAAATGATATAATAAATATTATAAGAACCACATAAGGTTATATATATTGAGTGAAATTCTCTAAAATAGTTATGTAATCTTATAAGTGTAGAATTTGAAAATAACCTAACTGAATATCTTAACATATATATTGACGTATAATATTGATATTTTTAATGGAATTATATTATTAAAGGAATGATTATTTATCACTTTAAAATGAGCGTATATTATTTAAACAATATATATTTTGATTAATATATTGGAAGTGCATTTTATTTATCATTATATTTTATTGGAATAATTTATATTTTTTTATTTATTGTTAGTATATATATATTATTATTTCTTTTGTTTTATGAAATACAGAATAAAGATATGCTTTTATAATTTTTCTTTTTTATTGATTATTATAATATAATGATCCTTTAAAATTTCTCGATATATCTTATTTGTATATTATGTATAAAGCTGAAGAATAATAATGACATTAATTATTGCTTATAATATAATTATTCTTATTTCATATATAACAATATTATTTTAATATTTTATTAGGATTTATGTGTGTGTTTCACTAAGTATACTTTTATCTTATTATGTATTACATTTAATACTTTGTATATATCCTTTATATTTTTCAAATGATTAATTTTTTTATTATATATTTAAGCTTTATATATAGGGTGTATGATTCTTTGATAATGCTATGGTTTAAGTTGTAGAAAACAACTAATTTTTTAGATGTTGATTTCTTAATTAAGAATTTATTTTTTTATTTTTTATATATTATTAATTTACTGAATATATTTATTTATAAACATTATGTTGTAAGAAAATAAATATATAATTTTTTACAACATATCATAAAGGAATTTATTTTTTCGTGACATTTTATGATATTTATAAAAATGAAAAAAAATTACATACTATTTTTAATAATAATATATATTTTTATATTACATATTTCACATATAAACCCTATATATATTCTGTGTGTAATATATGAAAAATTGATTACCATAATTCGTATTATATCATAGCAGATTACATTATTTTTTTTATATAATATGTTTGGTTCCGTGATATTTATGTACCTTATATTAATTAAGTTTGTTTGCATATGTTATTATAAGGAGTACTGTATTTATTTATACTTTTTTTAAATTTAATAATTTTCTTGAATCCATCGACTAATTCTTTAATTAGTATAAAGTGTTTCAATTAATTCTGATAATATATTTTTACCCATATACTATACAAATGTGTTCATGTTATTAATATTCTTACGATATACAAAAAGGAAATAATAAGATTTATTGATCCACACTTATTATAGTACTTTTGTATTTTATATACAAATTTTCTGTTTTATATATTAATTTTAATGTATTTTACATAAATTATTAAACCATTTACGTATTCATATTGTTTTTTTGAAATTGTATAAATATTTCTAATTAAATAACTACGAACCAGAGTATGTTATTTATATATAAATTCTACTTATTTTTATAATGAAAATAATTAGAACGTTTTATAAATTATGCTTGGTTTATAATATTTTTTTTTTCCACATAATTATATTAATAAAATATTATTCATACTGGTATTAAGAAAATGTACATTTTTAAATTATTATATAAAAATGAAAAATTTATTGATTTACACAATATATATTATGGTTTAGGGTTTTTTTTAAGGTTTATTTTTAGTGTTCATTGTTTTTGATTTAGTTTTAATGTTTTAACAGATTTAACGTTTTTGTTAAATATGTATATATTTACAAATATTATTTTATCAATGAATTTTTTGTTCATTTTCTGAAAGGAGTAATTTTTTTAAAAATATTCACTATTATAATATACCTACGTAGTTTCAAAACTTGAATGTTGGCAAAAATGTAGATTTAATATGCATTATGACACTGTAAAAGAATTTTGGCAAAATGAGTGGAAGAATTATAAATCCCATAGGATGGACTTAGGCCAATTTAGTTCATGTCACAATTTATAAGTAAACCTAATGAGTGGAAAAAATAAATTGACATATTT